GATCCCTGCTGAAGTCTAGAAAAAAAGAAGTCTGATGAAGAGATGTGGTGACCTCGAAATATCTACTATAACTTCTACCGCTTAGACTTTGTTGCTTTTTCAATTTTTCCTAATAAACAATCGTGGTACAAAGCTCAATAAAAATATTAAAAATAAAATGTTAATAAGCCACAAAAACATTGACAAATATATTTTTTTTGTTTGTGTGAAATATTTTATTTTTATCAGTATTTTTCTTTTAATCAAAATATGTTAAAATAAAAGTGAAAACAAAAAAAAATATTTGCCAGAATCAAATTCTGAAATAGGGTGTTCTTGAATCAAATTGAGAAGTAGGACGTTCTTGAAAAGGATTCTGAGGTAGCGTGTTTCCGTACTGGCTGCCGAGAGGCGAAGTATCTAGGAGTAACTCAGGACAAAAGGCTTAATTGGAACTCACATTTCTCGAATGTTACGAGCAAGGCTACAAACTCGTTTTGTGCCCGTCAGAGACTTCGTGGTAAGACTTAGGGAATATCACCCAAAATAACGTTTTGGTCTTTCAATACGGCAGTAAAAACCGTTGTTATACTATATGCGGCAGTGGCCTGGTGGCCAAAAGCTAAGCAAGTAAACGCGGCTGCCACCTTAAGCAAGCTGCACCAACTGGTCCGCGTTGTCATCGCAGGAGCTAAGCGCACCTGTTAAACGGATGCCGTTGGTGTCATGACAGGTATTATTCCTTTGTCTATTCTGATTGAAAAAGAGGGCTTTTGGAGCGATCTACGGCTGCCCAATACGATTAGTATGAAAAATGGAGATCTCGGGGGTTCATTTGAAGATTCTCATAGTCAGAATTTCTGAAAGGGACTGCTGTGAAGTGATAAATAACTATTAATGACGAAGGGTCCCAAGTATGGTTTACCGACGGATCGAATATGGACGACGGGAGTAGGCGTACTTGCACCACGATTTCAGAAAAGTCAATGGGAACATATCTAATCATGTTCCAGGCAGAAGTCTTCGAGAAATCGAAGTCGGTGTTCGCGACTGTCTTCGTAGAAGGACAAATGGGGCCAGAATAAATATTATGTCAGCAAGTCAGGCAGCGTTAAAGGCCTTAGACTCTTTTAAAATGGCATCAAGGCTTGGGCACGTAACGCTGTGGTGGGTTCCGGGAGATTAAGGGTACATCTAAAGGTTACATTGCAAAACTACTTAGGGGCTGCGAAGAATCTAAGTTTGCTGCCCACTAGCGGAAGTCCAAGGGAATGAGACAATCTAAGAAATTCATAAGTCCCTCCAAGGGGAATTTCGAAAGGCACTTGAACTTAGCCGGAAGAGTCTTAGAACTCTCCTAACAGGCCACTGCAAGTTAGGCTACAATTTGAATAAAATAGGACTTTCTCTAGAGGCGGATTTCAAGTTTTCTGGGCTGCGTTCAGCACAATAAATCTTATCATCTCGCAGCGTGAGTATTCCTGACGTAATAATAATAATATGTATGTGTAAAGAGACATTTGTATAAGCCTATACAGAAAAATGAATTCTTGTACACAGTTAATTTGTTTTTATTGTACTAGCTGCGTTTTAGTTTTACTAAATGTTTTGTTATCTAAACTTTTAATAAACTAAACATCGAAAATAAAAAATAAAAACTCAACAAAATTTTTGGTAGGTTTTGGTTGGATTTGGTAGAAAATTTTTGTAGGTAAAAAAATTTGTCCGTGGCAACACTGATATGGCCCAAACTTGCTCACCATACAGGGATACCGACTACAGTACCCCGGCTAAAAACGTGCTCTGTTCTGCTAGGGACCACGTGAATTGAGCATCATTGTTGATAAAGCGCAGCATGTTTTAGCAGCCTTTTCGCAAACATATTCAA